AATAAGGAGTATAATGCCACATTGGGTGACTAGTAATAGTAGCACAAATGTAATTAGAAACTGTATATATGTTAGAGGAAAGCCTTCAAAAATAAAAATAAAAAGTTTCTACGTTGGCAATATAAAAAAAAATAAAAAAATAAAAAAAATAAAAAAATATACCATAAAATCTCGAAATAGCGGGCATGGGCTTTATTCGAATCTTGGCCCGAATTAAGCTTAATTCGGGCCGAAATTTGTAATTTCACCCCTGCGCGTTATTTCGAGATTTCACGGTAGCCTTTTTTTATTGTTTGGGTATAGATAATAGTTAAAAAAAAAAGTTATACCTATATTTTTGATATAAGAAGCTCTTTATATAAAAAAGATTTTACAAGTTTTAATCAAAACTTTTATAACAAAAAGCTTTTGATATAAAAAAATCTCAAAATAAGAAAGGTCTTGGCATATATCCCATTTCAAGACTTTGAGCAAAGATATTATGATAACCACCCAACTAATCTAATGATTTTTTTTTATTCGATTCTACAGGTCTGTAGAATCAAGAAAATTTATCGAATTTAGTTAGGTGGTTACCGAGATATCTTTTATAAAAATTTTGCACGATGTTATTTTTGATAGGCGATTTAAATGTTCCCAAAACCTTGAGCGAAAATATCTCGACACCTATCCGACTAAATTCGATGAATTGTTTTTATTTGATTCTACAGATCTGTAGAATCAAATTCATTTAGTTAGATGATTGCCGAGATATCTTTGCTTAAAGTTTATAAAAGTTTTTGCCGCGGCTGTTATTATGATAGACGCTTTAATATCTCAAAACTTTGAGCGATATCTCAGTAACAACTAACCAAATTAGATGTGTAGTATTAAATATCATTGAGAGAATGTAGGAGTGTGATGTCGGGTGTAATTAGAGTTATCAAGAATTTTACTTCACGGAGACAGAACACGTGGTGCAGCCAAAATCTAAAAATTTTCTAATCGATAATCAACGTTTGTAAATTGCTAGTTGAAATTTTTAAAAAATACAGTATGTATTTAGAGAGGGTGTATTAAAACTGAATATTAAAATGCATATAGAGAGCTGGTTAAATTTACTGTAAAATGAAACAATAAAGATAGAAAGAATTGGTTTTGTTAAAAACAGAATTTTACAGTATATCAATTTTTTAGGGTCCCTGGGTTAGTACTAACATCTTAATACCCCAATTCTGGGACAGTTACCTGAAATTTGTAGATCACTCTGCAAAAAAAGAATCTTATCCACATGGCTTCAGTTCGAGCTGCCTCGATCGACTGGTCGAAATTAACAGTGACTTTAGGTCTAAAGAAAGAAACCATAGCATCTTTACTGGCATTTCGTAAGCGTAATGACGAGGCAAAACGCGTTGTTGCTGCTCTTAAACAACAAAAATCCGATATCGATTTCGAGAATTACAGGCGCATCTTAAAAAATAAAGCGATCGTAAATGAAGCTGAGAAGGTTTTAACCCAATTTAAACCAACAAAAGTTGATCTGGATGCACAATTGAAAATTGTTGAAAATTTTGAGAAGAAAGCTGTGAGTATTAAATCATTTTTTATGTATCTATACAATCAGATCCCGTTATCAACAAGATTAAATATTACAGATGGACTACGCAAGAAATACTGTTTCCAGAGTTGATACCGAACTTCGGGACTTACAAGCTACTTTGACAAATATGGAACAAACGAGGCCTTTCAAGGATATTAGTGTGAATATCGAATTGGCTTTTATATCTATTCCCTCCTTTATGACCTTTCCTAAACTATTTCATTCATTTATAGGTTGACGAACTAGTTAAAGCCAAACCAGAACTCAATGATATTGTTGAGAAAATGGTCAAAAAAGGACGGTGGAAAATTCCAGGCTACGAAGAAAAATTTGGATATTAATGATTACATTTCTGTAACCAGTGTTTATAATTCAAATTTAAAAATTATGATCTCAAAAGAGCTTAATGTTCATTGTATTGAATTATATTATTATACGTAATTTGTTTATTATAGTAAATTTTCTAAAAAAAAATTCATTTTACAAATTAGCATATATAGTATACTATACTAGATTTTTGAAGACTCGGATTTTTGTTATAGCCAAAGCTAACACTAAGATTATACTATACTGTATTTAAATTAGAAAATTACTATTTGTACACTCCGTGTATGTACACAGGTATTAATTCATTTGCAAATCCGAGTAACATACAATATTGTAAGTGGAAGCAGAATTAAGAATTTTAGGGTAGAATTTATCTATACCCTAACCCTATTTAAGAAATTCCAAATCCACTTAAATCTCGTATAACCAAAAATTAAACCCGGTTTAAGGTTAACTTTAGGGTTAGAAAAGGATATAGTTTATACTAAAAATTTGCAAAGAATAGAGCTCCAAAAGCTATTTTATTATTAGGATTTTGAGATATCAACATACCCATGTACATACACGAAGTGTACAATTAGAAAATGCTCTTAAATATATTATAATAACTTTGAAATACAGTATATTTTTAGTATTTTAAATCAAAATTTAAAAGCATGAGTATAAACAATATTAGCTACGACAATAATTCGATTTAAACTTATTAACTTACAAATGCATAATAAAACATTATATTAAAATTAAACATAGTGATAAAAAAAAAAACTTTTTGCACACGAAAATTAGTGCAATATTAGATATAATCTATTAATTTATTTTTTGTTTTTTTTTTTAATACTAGTGTTAATTAATATAGAATTTTCCTATGAAAATATGTAAGGTATGCAACCCCTTATAAATAATTCCTCTACAAAACAACAAAATTCAATTAAAAAATGTGAAAGCAAATAAAAATAATTGTAATTTAAAAGAACATAAAAGATATATATATTTTTTCACAATGAAAAACTATTTCTATGAATACTAACCCAAAAGTTGTATACTGAACCTCACACAAAATTAAACAATAACAATAAAATAGTATATATAATACATCTGCCTAATGGAAGGAAATAATTAATTATACTCTACTCAATAGAAAAAAAATGAAAGGTAATTCAATAAATAAACATTCCGGCGGATTAATTAAGGAGGAAAAAAAGTAGATGAGACAACAAAAATTATAGCTTAAAGATAAATTTCCCTATCTACTTTCTACCTCTGGACGTTCCAGCTTGGATCTGTTCCAAGTCAGCTTCCAAAGTTTTAATATGAGAATGTTCTGCCTCTAAATCTTTATTAAGACGATCACGCTCAGCAATAAGCTATAATTCATCAAAAAAAAATTGTTAGAACAGTACAAAAATATAATATGTCTTAAGTAATTATTGAACATTTACATGTTGTTCCCATTGTCGGAAGCGATTTTCTTCCTGTTTAACTTGCTCTGTGAATCTCTTTCGAAGAGCTTCTTCTTCTTCTTTGAATTTAGGATTATCAAGTTTCTTTGGTCTGTTTTACATTAAATGAGTTTAATGTAATTAAATCTTAGAATAATAGCGGCAATAGTAAAATAGACAATTATTCAACTTACTTAGGTTCACCAAACTTCCTGGTTTCCATCTGTGATTGACGATAATTCTCATAATGTATTTCTTCGGTAGTAGAAACAAGATCTAACATGTGTGTTCTATAAATAAAATAACATATAAGACTTTTGTACATCATATATATTTGAAATTATGAGATAATTTTACCTAATAAGAAGAGCCCGGAGCTTTCTAAAATCACAATGATCTTCATTTTCGACTTCGGCGATACCCCAACTGTATTGTCTTCCTTTTACCTTGCGACCATCAAGGGCAATGACATCTTCGTCACTACCAATGATTGCAAATGGCATAGCAGCCTAAACATAGTATAATATGTAATGCGTGATTAGAATTAGTCCATTCATAAAAATTATATAATTACAATATTTACCATAATATCCATATTTCGTTTAGTGCTTGTCTCATCATCACTTTCAGTTGGACATTGGTAAACTTGAATATTTTGTGCGGCAATGACTTCCCTAACCTAAAATAACCATAATAAACAGGATAT